CCCTGACCCTTCTCCAAGGCTCCCCTCACTCCATCCCCCCTCCCTCTGTTGCTTGCTCTCCCCACCCTCACTCACTCTCTCATTTTCACCAAGCTGGCTTAGGGGGTTGGGTGTGGGAGGGGGTGAGGGCTCCAGCTGGGCGTGCGGGCTCTGGGGTGGGGATGAGGGGCTTGGGGTGCAGGAGGGTGCTCCAGGCTGGGACCGAGGGATTTGGTGTGCAGGAGAGGGCTGGGACAGGGGGTTGGGGTGTGGGGGGTGTGTGAGGGCTCTGGCTGGGGGTGTGGGCTCTGGGGTGGGCCTGGGGATGAGAGGTTTGGGGTTTAGGAGGAAGTTCTGGGTTGGGACCAAGGGGTTCGGAGGGTGGGAGAGGGATCAGGGCTGGGGCAGGGGGTTGGGGCGCGGGAGGGGGTCGGGGTGCAGGCTCCGGGTGGTGCTTATTGATTCCCGGCCAATGGGAGCTGCAGAGCTGGTGTTTGGGGTAGGGGCAGCATGCGGATGTTGGCTGCTATGACAATTTTTCCTAAAATTCGTAATTAACTTTTGGAAAAACAAATAAATATGCACATCTCCATCTCCAAATCATTGTAATTTATTTATGATGAGGTGGGGTTTTTTTTTTCAGACTCAATCATAAAAATAATGTACAGTTGTCTCCATTCTTTACTGGACCTAAACAGAATAGAAACACAAATAAGGTGCTTTGCATGTTCTTGTCTTTTGTTGTTGTTTCTTGTGCTTTTTTGGTTGCAGGTTTTTTTCCAGACTTGATAGCTAGTAAGTCTGTTTCTATGAAAAGTGATGTTTGTACCTGTGTTAATATCACTTTGCACAACAGCAGACTTGCTAGCAAGCTGGGAGGCAGCAAAAAGTTATTAACAAACATCCAAATATCACTTTTCACTTTTACCCCTCTGAAATTAAACCCTGGATGGGAGGTGGGCAGGGAGGTAGCAGGGGTTGAGGGTGATGGGGTGGATGGGTGAGCGGTTTGGGGAGGCAGCAGGGGCCAGGAGCGTTGAAGCGGGTGGTAAGCCCAAAGCCCTGCAGCTGGGGATGAAGCCTTGTGGCCTGGGGATGGAGCTCGCCACTGTGCAGCCGAAGCCCGGAGCCTGAAGCCTCGCACTTGGAGTCCATGGCCGGAGCCCGCTGCCACGTGGCCAGGGCCACCCCAGGCTGAAGCTGGAAGCTTGAGTCCACCGATTCCCAGAAGGTGGGGAGCTCACACCGGCTGTCTGCTCCTCCAGTGTTTGTGGGTTCAGCAGGAGGCAGGGCCCAACCCCTCCTGGTGGTGCTAAGGGAGTGACCGCTGCTTCCCCCAATCACTGCCCAGGAGGCTGTGGCCGCAAGAAAAGCCCCTGGTGTCCACATTTGAGAAATGCTGCTCTAGGCCTAGGTGCAGTTAGGTCAGAGATGTGTGTGTGTGGCGGGGGGGAAGGCAGGGTCACATGCCCCCCACCCCAGCCGAGATTGGCTTGTATTGAGCATGCTCACACAGACTAAGCATGCTCAATAACACTACTGAAGCTGGCTGTCCTCACTCTGTCGTCCGTCCCCCCCCCCCCCCCGCCGCACACACACACACACACACACTATTGGCAGGCACGGGTCGTCTGGGATTTGAGCATCTAATTCCCATTTGTGCTTTTGAAAATCTCCCCAACTTTCTTTTTATGTCTTCTGTGAAGCACCTGACACTTTTTTGGAGGGGGCTACAAAGTAATTAAAGTGATTATTAATTATCATTTTATTAACAATAATAACATCTCTGTCACATTGTTTTATTCAGTTCAGAGAATATTTAATTTTTTTGACAAAATGTACCAGTGGGAAAGAGCTCCATGCAGAGCTCCAAAGACTACTCCAATGCATAATGTCGAGCATGTGCATAAGTGTTTGCTGGATAAGGGCCTACACAAAATATTGGGACAGGACTGGACTCTAAAAAAGAATAATTTTCATCAGTGGTTGAGAGGTAAATACTTAATTTAAGAAACAAAACCAAAATAAACAAACAAGCATATTTCTAGCTCTTTTCTAGTCTCTTTATCACAAGGACAGTATTTTCTCTTGTTGAAGGTTGGTTTATTGTTTTGAGTTAATACACAGCTGAGAAAATCTTGGTTGATGGTTGCCTTACCTGAGAACAATTTTATTTGATTCTAGTAATCCATGGTGATTGGGGCGGGAGGAGGGGGAGAGAAAGTTTTCAAAACTGAAATTGTTTTCCAGCACACAGAAGACCTTGGAAAATCAAAACTGCTGACAGTGAAATTGCTATCTCAGTATTATTGGCTGTTTTGTTTTACTTTAAGATAGGACTTATATCTCTCTAACATAATTAGCACATGATAAGCATTCTAGTTTCTAGTCTACTTCCATTTCTGAAGCTGGAGGGTGTTCATTTCAATTCGGAGTGCATTAAATTGAAAGGAAAAATGCATTCAGGCTAGCCTCAAATTCATGGGTTCTATGATGTTATTTGGAGAATTAATGATGCTTCCGCATCAACTGACACATTCACTGAAAATGTAATGTAATGTGGACGTTCGGAAGCGAACGATAGAAAAGCTGGGAAGATGCTGAAGAATTGAAGGTACTCAAGACACTTTTTTTGCCAGTATTTGTCAGGTAGGTGAGGTTTGTTCAGTCAAACATTATTTAAATTGCCATTTGCTATATAATCCTATATATACCCTAATGCAGATGAACTGTTGCTATTAAAGGACAAAACTCCCAAGACTTTCAGGGATAAGTTATTTGGAATTTGAATATTGCATTTGAAATGTATGTTAAACTGAACTAAAATAGTACTTTGTTCATTATATGCTAGAGATGATTATGCTGGAATAATATTTATTCTGTCTTTTGCTATTATGCTTAGTTATTGACATTGCGCTATATCACAACATCAATTTTCAAGCAGAAGCCCATGGTGAAATCATTGCAGAGTTCTGATAAAAGGCTGCTGGTATGATATAAGCCACATGTCATCACATTCCAGTGTTAATACCTCATTTCACTCTATTGGTTAGGTTAGTTCTTAGGATATTTTTTTGTTACTCTCTCAATAATACATTGATACCCCACCATAATGTAGTGAGAGTAGAGAAAAACCTTATTTAAAGCCAGTTTTCTCTTTAATAGTTTTAAACATACAATTTTCAGCATCATGAGATCTATTTATCTTTGGTAGAAAGCGTTCCTGAAATTATACTCATCATACACATGGGATCGGATCATTGTTCATCCTGACTATTGGTGTAAAGGGTTAAAGGAGTATAAAGCATTCTATTATTCCTTTGTGTCAGTGAACAGTATGGTTACTTCTAGTTGCATAGAGTAGGAGAACCTACAAAGCTGCTACAGCCTCCTCGTGCTGGAGGACATGGGGAGTGGACACAACCTTAGCTCTGCCCTGATAATGTGGACTGCAGCATAGCACTGAACCAGATGTAAACCCAGCATGGTTTACTCCCTTCCTGGATCACGGCGATAACTTGGCCTCCTAGGCTGCTCCAGGGGCAGCATGACAATACATTGCCCTTTGGCTTTGGGACCCCCCAACCCAGGGCGGCAGGCCTCGGGCTTTGACTTCTGTCCCTGCTCCTGTGGTCGGGTAGTAATTTTTGTTGTCAGAAGGGGGTTGTGGTGCAATGAAGAACCGCTGGACTAAACCATTATCAGAGCAGGTTGAAAAATTTTCTGTGCAAGCCATTTGTCTTCAGAACATGCCTTTTTTGTTGAAATAGAAATTTTCAGGAAAAAATCTGCTTTTGTAGAAAAATTGGGATTCTATGTGATTAAAAAACAAAACTTTCAAAAAAAATTGTATTGGGCAAAAATGAAAAAAAAAATTCCTAGGGAGAAAAATCATTTATTCACCAGTTCTTATCATAATGTCATGATCTAGTTTATGAGGAGCTTGAGTCACTGATACATGCTGTAAATTAAGTCTGTATCCCCAGGGAAACCAACAGGGTTAGAATGAACTCAGAATATACAACTGTGCAGGGTGAGTTAGGACAATAGAATCATAGAAATGTAGGACTGGAAGGGACCTCAAGAGGTCGTCAACTCCAGCCCCCTGCACTGAGGCAGGACCAAGTAAACCTAGACCATCCCTGATGGGTATTTGTCCAGACTGTTCTTAAAAACCCCAATGATGGGGATTCCACAACTTCCCTAGGAGTAAGAATGCTAGCACTTGAAGGTGTAAGGGTGCAAGATAGTTGGTTAAAACTAGACCTGGTTGAACAGTTTTCCATCAGAAAATGTTGATTCAACAAAACTGAAACATTTCACAGGAACACATCAATGTTGTTGAAATTTTCTATGGGAAATTATTGAAACATTTCATTTTGATTTCATTGTTTTGACTTTTATGCCAATATAATATGAGACAAGGTGGGTAAGGTAATAATCTTTTATTGAACTAGAAGTTGGTCCTATAAAAGATATTACCTCACTCACCTTGTCTCTCTAGTATCCTGGTACCAAAATGACTACAACTACACTGTATAATATAATATAATATAATATAATATAATATAATATAATATAATATAATATAATATAATATAAATGATAAAGTTGAATCAAAACATGTTGACCTTATCATCTCATTTTGTGAAAAAATCAGATTTTATCCTTTCGGCCCAATTCCTGACTCAGGATTAAACCAGAGTTGGAAATCTTGGAATTTCCCATGGGATGGAAATGTGAGTTTTTGACCAGCTTTAGTTAAACACATACAGGTAGAAAGGTCAGGGTGATGACAGGCTGATATTTTCTTTCTTTCTTTCTTAACGAAGACAAGCAACATACAAAGAGTAGGGGAATGGAAGACAAACAGAATGTATACACTTTTTATAAACCTTATGTACAATTTATATTTTCAGCAAGTGACTCAGAGGTTGTGTGGATAAGAGGGGAGTGGCAGCAGCACAGAAATTGTGGATGTTGATTTGTTGGAAATCTCAAAGGGCTGGTTAGTTGATTTGATGGTGGAAGTAGGTGAGTGATATTCAAAGAGATGACGTGGAGGTCAGAGAAAGGGAATTCAGAAATATACAAACCAGAGGCAGTATTATTCTTGTATATGGAATGTCTACTTTCTAACCTTCAAAATCTAATGCCCGGGGTATCTTATATACAACTCACTGCATTTATCTCAAATCACTGGCTTTGCACTCACTTATTTTTTTTCTCCTTTTGTCCAGTACCAGCTAAAATGAAGATGAAGCTTTTCTTTTTCTCCAAGAGCTCAGTAGGGAGCTCATCTCTGCTTGGTTACATCATTTTCTTCACTTCTCTACTTGTTCACAGATTGGACTCAGGTAGGAATTCCTATTTGCATAGTATAGATGTTGGAGATAGCCAATCCATTATAATATTCATCCTCTGTAACTTTACAATTATTCACCCTAGAAACAATTTCTTTAGGTAGGAAAATTATGCTCTTTTCCTTCTTTTTGGGTGAGCCTATTGTCCTTGCTGCCTCATTCTCCTTAGAAGATTTAGGCATTATGGCCCTGATCCAACACCCATATGAGAGCAATGGATGTCTTTCGCATTAACTTCAGTTGGCATTGGACCAGGCTCTAGGGGCTAGAGTCAGGAAAGGACTTCAGTGCCTAACTGCCACTTGAAGCACCTAAATCCCAGAATCAGTACCCTGTGGGATTCACAAAACCCCCACTCAGCTGTCCCTGAAGCCTATAGGTACCTAACTTGCTTGATGCCTACATTTTTGCAGCAAAAGTTCCCTAGGCGCCTATGTTTTTGCCTCTGAGCATGTGCACTGCAGTGCCATGCCAAGCGTCCAGACAGCTAGACCCCACAGTAATATACAACCAGTGAAAAATTGGCATCCTCTGCCTAGCTCACTTGCAGAGCCTGATCTGGTCAGCATGCTCAGAGCTTGCCTACTGGCTCTGGCCCCTATAGGTGAGCTTACCCAAAACAACTGGGGGGTGAGGGGGAAGAAAGTGAGTCACCATTGAGTTACCACCTCCCTCACAAGTTTTAGCCCAGTGGTTAGGCTACTCACTTGGGATGTGGGAGACTGCCAGCTCAAGTTCCCCCTTTGCTTGTGAGGGGAGGGAAGGGATTTGACCTAGTGTCTTCCTCTTTTCACATGAATGCCCTAGCCTCTGGTCTATGGAATACTCTGGTGTGTGTGGGTGGGGAGGTTCTCAAGCTCTTTTGTTGAAGCTGCTCTACTGTGGATAACTAATTTTAAAAAAGTCACTGTGGCAGCGGGACTGGCTTCTGAGTCTCCAGGTGAGTGCGCTAATCACCAGGCTACAGAGTCATCAGGTACCTAAAAGTTAGGTGTGGGGATGCTAAGTGTCTCTGTGAATCCAGCACTATATGTCCCTGTGCAAGAGCCAGAACACCTGCAGCTTGGATCAGCCTTCTATGTATAGCGGGCTGAAATTTTCCAAATTTCAATTTTTTGGTGAAAAATTGTGGTATTTTTGAATTTTAACACAAAAAAGGGGGGGTTATAATGACTTTTCATGATTTTTTTTCCTTTCGTTTTTCAACCAGCTACATAGGGGGTCAAAAAATGTAACATTTCACCACGTTTTTGTCATCAGAATTTTGAATTTTAGTGAAAAAAACCCTTTCTCCTCCCATGTTTTGACTCCTGTGCTTCTGGTAGACAATACAAACTGCAGGAACCTCATTGCAGATTTAGACTGTATTGACTTTCTGGCAGATTCCCTGTAAATCTGAAGATTGTCTCATCCTACAAGGTAACAAGTAAACAACATAGATCAAGACATATGACCATCCCAACTGTACTGAAAGAGAATAAGAGAGATTCTTTTAAATAACATGCCTATTGTGACTTATTGCTCAATTGATGTCATAGTGTCATTGTCTTTGTGTGCTACTATATTTTACAGCACACTTTACAGTGATTGGGTCAGATCAAGCTGTCACTTCCTCGATAGGAGATGAAGCTATTTTACATTGTCACCTCTCCCCCAAGATGAGCACTGAGAACATGGAAGTGAGATGGTTCCGATCCAAATTCTCTTCACCTGTGCACCTATACCGTGATCAGAAAGATCAGTACGTACAGCAGATGCCAGAATATCGAGGACGGACAGAACTTTTGAAAGACGGCATGGCTGATGGAAGAGTTGCCTTGAAAATTCGCAATATCACATTCTCGGATGCAGGGTGGTACAGCTGTTTTTTTCGGTCAAATGTCTCTTATGAGGAAGCCTTAATAGAACTGAAGTTAGCAGGTTAGTTACATTCTTTAGTGTCTTGACTCCTTCAAAATGTAATGAACGGAGTCATGTCTTTTAATCAGAGATGAAACTTGGTGTTTCACAGTTGCAAGATAATGACAATTATTTCAATTTACTTCTGGTTATTTCAGAGTATCGCGATAGTTTTTGAACTCCAGGAGCACAGGGAAAAATTTTGGTCTTGCAGGAACGTGGGGAAGTGCCATTGGTTGGCTTGTGACAAAGTCCTTTTCTAACCATTGCTCTTCTCACCCACCATCCTGTGGAGTCCTACTCTTGGGACCCAGTCTCAGTCTTCAGAATCAGGCCTTCTGTCCTGCAGAGCTTAGGGGGAATGTAGAAATTGTAACCTGATGTATTGATTGTTTATTAATTATACTGATTACTTAAGAATTCTTAGTGATCACTCTGAGGTTTGACAGGTTCTTGACCCAAGATCAGTATTATTAAAATTACTGCTCAGTTGGGAACCCCGATGTGCATGGTTGCAACACGCTATAGGAACCCTTCTGTATTTGTAACAGTTCATCAATACATTTAGATAAATCACAAATACTTCAACTCAGTAAGGTAGACAGAGATAACACAGATTGTCCATCCACATACTCACATCATCCTTTGCAGAACAACCTGAAATGTTAGCCATCGTCTTCCTCATCACCATCACCTTCCTTATGATCACCCATGGCCATCAACCTGGCACCTCCTAAAGGCTACGTCTCTCTCTCCTCTTGCACGTGGGCTGGGATACAACTTTTATAATATGTTACGTTGACTCCACCACGTCTGATGCATATTCAACAGGGGTTTCTCCCCTCTTCCTTATGTGTATTTCCTTACCCTACTAGTGTTGGGGTTCCCATTTCCTATATGTTAGTGTGTATATGTCTATATTTCAACTTGTTTCCATGGCACTCTTATGGTTAGACACCTGCAGACGTTCCCATCCTAAAATATCCCAAATCTGGTGAGCAATTTACACATCCCACCTTGTTACACTCAAGTGTCCAAACCCTTATCTTCTGGACATGCCCAGTGTACACCAATCCGCTGTCTTCATGGAAACTGTGCACCTCCCTCTACTGGTTTCCCCTCAGTTTATAAGAGTACAGGTAAAAGAAAAAGATAAGACACAATCTATAGTCTCTAGTTTCAGAGTAGCAGCCGTGTTAGTCTGTATCCGCAAAAAGAACAGGAGAACTTGTGGCACCTTACAGACTAACAAATTTATTAGAGCATAAGCTTTCGTGGGCTACAGCCCACTTCTTCGGATGCATATAGAGTGGAATAAAT